AAAAAAAAAAAAAAAAAAAAAAAAAAAATGAAAAATAAAGAAAATTAAGGAAAATACAGGATTGTTATAGAAAATTAAGGAAAGCGTGAAGCTCTTACCTCGGTTTTCTTGCAATAGTCTATTTCTGTTTTTTTTTCAAATATTATAAAAATGTTTTCTTATTATTTTATGTGAGTAAGCACCAATTTTTTTTTTTTAAAAAAAAAAAACTCAATTTAATGGTGTTATGAGTTTTGTTAATTCTAGAACTTAATTTGATAGTTTTATAGCATTTAAGTCTCGGGTTGAGAAAAAAATCTTTCAGGCCTCAATTTGATAGTTTACCAATATTTCAGATCTTGTATTGAAAAAAAAATCATATATGTTATGTGGTCGTCCCGTCTCCACCGCTCGACTTGTTCGCAGCGAAAGCTTATTTTCATGGCTCGTCTGACCGCAATGCACTATTTCGGGGCCTGCTGGAGTGCTACTCGTGTACAGGGCTACCGGAAAACATTCTTCTTGGCCCGGGCTGATCCCAGCTCCCCTTTAACAGCACCGTTTTGCCCGTTTCAGCTGCAAATCACAACACAAAGGACATGTGATTAACAGCAAGCAAAAAACAGAGAAGATAAGGGGAAAATACACTAAGTAAAATGTTGTAAAATAGGAAATGAAAAATAATAGAAAGAAGAACTCCATTTGACCGAAATCTGGCCGGATAATGACGACACGAAGTCTCCCGAATCAGATTATCCTTGAACCCGGCACCCTCGGTAAGTAGCGGCTCGGTGGTGGCCAACAAATGGCAGCCCCGGTTCCTCGGCCGGCTCCCCGGGCTGCACCTCTTACACACGACAACGCACCCGACCACTTCGTCGCCTAACCCCTCCTCTCATGCCGAGAATCGCAGGAAGCCCCACGCAAGGGCTTTAGCCGGTGGGTTGAGCTTGGCGACGGCGCGGTGGCACAGTGAAGACACGACGAAGGTCAGTTCTCACACACTCTAAAAGGTCACAGAGAACTAAGGGAGAGAATAAGAGATCGATCGGTATTTTTCGTCTCATGACAGAGAGAGAGAGAATAGGGCGCAGCAGCAGCGAGAGATAGAGAGTGTGTTGTGTTAAGTTAGGGCAAGAGTGTAGGTATTTAAGGTGTAGGATGGATGGATGAGATTTAATCCCTAAATCTAATGGTCCACATTAAACCTGCCACTTGAGTGTGTAAAAGGGCCCCCAGAGAGGAACCGGGCAAATACTTCCTTGGGTCTGAGATAAGGATTTAGTTTTGGGCCAAATTCCCAACAATATATTATTTAAATCTTTTTATATTACATCACTATGTTACTTTTCGAAATATATATATATATACATATATTAGATGTTTATTTCTTCAATATTTTATTTTTTTACTTAATAAATTAATTTATTTATCTTATTAAATTTAATCGACCAAAAAACATTCGCGGTCACCCCCGTGCACTTTACTAGTTTAATTAAATTAGAACTCATGTCCACAAAGGTTGCGCATTTTTTGGCTATATTTCTCGCATCTCACAAATATCTGGACTATATATTTAATCTTGGGCCGGCATTCCATACCTCGATGTTATTTACTTATTAGTACACCACCCGCGCGATGCGCGACTTGATATTATAAGTGATGTGCATAATAATTTAAATAAATAAAAAAATATTTTAGAATTGTATAGAGATAATAAAATATAAAATAATTATTTGGTTTATCACATCTTAAAATGTTCATTAAAAAAAATCATAACTCAACAAATAATATATGAGTGTGTGGTTGAGAAATAGAATTTATTTTTGCTTCAAATTTTTAAAATTAAATTCATTAAACTTAAAAAACTTATATGTGATATTCAACGAATAAGGTATTTGTCACATTAATTCTCTGATTTTGTTTTATAAAATTGTCTCTTTAATAAAATAGTTTTCATCGAACAAAATAAGCCAGTATTACTATTATACAAATAAACTGCTACACAAATAATTGAAGTTAACATATGCGAGTCAATTAGAATTAAGAAGCATAAACTAAATACTTAATACATAAATACAAAAGGGACTCAAATTTGGTTCTCATATATTTAGTTTTAAATTAGGCACACATTTTATATTTTATTAGAAAAATAAACTCAACATTTTATTTTTTAGTATGAAAAGTGTGGTGGTGATATAATAATATTGTGCATAATAGATCACTTTTGGTGAAGTTACTGATAGACTCGTTAATTGTTACATGTTCAGGTTAATAACATATTATTCCCTTTTTCACTTGGGATTCATTAGATACGTAATTTACCTTTTTTTAGAAATGTACGCTGACCGAATTTTGGTAAAATAATAAGAAAAAATATTTAAATTATATTGTTATTTTAGTATTTATGTAATATCATTTAAATATTTTTTTTCTTATTATTTTACCAAAATTCAGTCAATGTACATTTCTAAAAATATAGTAAATTATATTTCTCATAAATCCCAAGTGAAAAAAAGGAGTAATTGTATTGACCTGAACATTTAACTATTAACGGGTCTAGTAAATTGTGTTGCACTTTTATCTACTACGACGGTTCAGTAGTGATTTTATTTGTTTTGTATTGACTTAAAAAAAATTGTGTTATATGAATAAAAATTTAACAATAATGAACATAATATGTTATTTTATTCATAAAAAAAATGTTAGGTAATTGTAGATAGATAAAAAGTTAAAATGATGATATTTACAAACTTTTAAAATGATGTTTTCACACAAATAATCTAAATAACGGGTCTTACATATAATATAGTATCTTTTAATGATCATATTAACTTTTCTCAAGATCATTTCAAGAGAATGTGTCATTTGTTTTGAAAAATAAAAATATATAATATATAAAAAAGGAACTCACACACAAAAATAGAAAAACAGAAATAATGTAAACGTGTCATGCAAGTTCATAATAATATTTTTCTAATAAAAATTAACTCTTTATTTATGTCTAAAAAATTATGTTACTCACTAAGAGAAGAAATGGAAAAAATAAATAAAATATTAGAAGGCAAATTCTTAATAAATTAATATTTTGAAATTAAGCCTTTACAACAAATAATTTATTGATGTTGTTTAAATTATCTACATAGGATTTGACATATTTATTTGGAGTGCATGTTTTCAATGTGTTATTATATATTTACTGTTTTGGTTATGTAACTAAATCTTCAAAATTTTATTGTTAAGTAAAAGTTATCCACCATTTTTTAGACATATTTCTGTTGGTTTGCACCTAGATTTAAAAAAACCTATAGATGTATTTTTTTTTTTTTTGAACAATATGTCTATATTATTTTAATAAACTATATTATATGTAAGACCTGACTTTTAGTATCTTTGTCATCGTTCTCTCATTGCATCTTCTTTCTATTTATTTTATTTATATGCATTATATGTTTTAGTACAAACACGTCGATCTCATTAACATAAATGAAGTTTTGAAAGAAACATAATTTTTATTGATATTCCAGTTGTATAGATATGTTTATACCTTTAATTTTGAGAATAACAGTTAATATGTTATAATTTTATGTTTAGTTATTATAATGTTTTTCACCGAAAAATTTACTCAATGAATTAACATAAAACATCATATAAAAATGAAATATTTTAATCTTTAAATTTTATTAAATTTTATTTTGTTGCATTATATAACTAACCATGTTAGATTTTATATTATGTGATTAAGAATCTATACTTTCAAAATGACTCACGATTGTGAAAGTTGTATAATTAAAAATAAGATTACATTAGGTCCTTATATTGTGGTTATATAATGAAAAGATATATGGTTTTGTAATTGAAAAAATTCAAAGTGGACGGTTTTAGAAATTTAATGGATAAATCGATTGAGAATAATTAATAAATTTTTTTGACATTACTCATTATTTTGTTTTTATTGATAAATTATTAATTGTATTGAGATGTGTAGAATTAGCCCAACATTCTAAACAGTTGCCAACTTATTTAACATTCCCAATAATATTATATCTATTATACACAATTCCAATAGGGCTTTAAATTACAACAATTATTGAATTGATCAAACAATTAATGAGTAACATTTAATATATAATGGGAGGGAAAACAAAAAAAATTTCCAGCTACTTTGCTTTATATAGTTTCTTAGTACACAAATTATCTACAAAATTTAATGTGTATTCACCATGTACTTATAAATACTACTATCAATTACTATATGACCCTTATGAATGCACTATTACAATTTAACATTTCCAATGTGACAAATTATCCTTCTTATTTTCCAAGAAGACAATTACCCAATATTGCAACCAATACATAAGTTGATTAATAACTACAATACACATTCCAAGGTTAGACAATATCTAAAATAACGTGAAAGTAAATTATGATATAATTAATACAATAATTAATGTAAGTTTGAACGGGAATTTGGCAACTGCTCCGCGTTAATATATATATAGATTTTTACTGACTTCCACTATAACACCAAAGAGCGCACACAATTCAGAGAATGACACAGTGTTTTGCATTTTTTCAGTAGAAAAAACATAAAGGAATGCCAAAATGTGAACATAAGGGAATGCCAAAATCAAAATTAAAACCCAAAAAAATAAATAATAAATGAAATTAATCTCACCCCAAATATAAAATCAACTCAATAATCCGGTAACCCTTTCATCAAATCCATGAACGATGGAGATATCGGGTGATCGGCCATTGACGAACACAAGAAATCGCTCGTGCTCGGGTTTAAATACGTCACGTCCATCAAGTACGGGATGTTCATACTATTATCATTATTACTTTTACTACACACATTGTGCATGGATGAAAATGTAGACGAGTCTTGCATCGACCTCTCGTTCTCCTCATCATATCCGGAATCTTCGCTATTATTAGCACATTTCTTGTGGTCCGATTGGTCGTCCTCGGCCCGGTGGAGGCCGGTGAGCTTCTGGACGAGAGCCATAAAATCGTGGGCGTGCGTGTGGATGATCTTGGGAGACTGTGTGTAGATTATCACCGGCGGGCGCTTGGGCTTGCCGGGAGAGAGAGGAAGGGCGGGAAAGGAAGAGGATTTGTGGATGGCGTGAGAGTGACGGTGGATTCTCAATGGGGTCGAACGAGGTCCGTTGATCAATCCGTCATCACTGCTGTCAAGCTTTGGGGTCCTCATGGTTGTATGGCTCTTGATGTTCTTCTCACTACAAAAGGGATAAAAGTTCAACTTATGGTGGTTTTGATCAGTAAAAGGGTTGATTAATTAGCTGTTTCCTTTGGTTTAGAGATATGTTTGGTTTGAGGGACTAAGGAATAAAGGTGGATTGATAGTGAAGGTGTTTCGGGTTAATATATATATAGAGAAAGAGAGAGAGTGGGGATAGGTGGGGAAGATGGAAAGGAAACAAATGCGGATAGTATTTTTACTTTTTATTTAGATTATCATTTCAATAACTTCTATTTCAAATATTGAACTTACATTCAACTCGTATTTAAAAATTGACCTATCAAATATTAATTAATTAGTACAATAGTCGTGCACTACACGGCTGGTTGATAAAATAACTAAATGTACGATAAAAAAATAAAAAATATATATATTTTGTTGAAGTTAGAAAAAATAAATAAAGAACAATGTATAATAATTTATAATAAATACCTAAGTGAATTAACAATATTATTTTAAAGTTTGAAAAAAAAAATTATATACATCATTAATTTTATTTATAATATTTTTTTAAAAAAAATAAAGGAATAATATGAACAAAGCACAAATTGTGGAAAGTAAAATTATATGCACATTATAGAAAAAAAGATAATAAATAAAATTGTATGGATTAATTTAAATATATTAAATATGTGTATATATATGGTAATCCGAACTTAAGTTACTGATATAAAAATTAGTAATTTTTATCCAAACCACATTACAAAGAATGATATTTTGTCATGTAAAATTAGGAAGCATGCGAAAACTCCTACTTAGACTCATTGTGCTCAGAAATTAGTGAAGTAATTTATATCGGTTTTGCTATGAAGTCAACAGTTAGCTCCATAGTGGAGCCAACAATCTATATACAACAAATAAGTCTATCATATTGATAAAATTAATTAGTGTTATTTAAGTAATCAACGAATATAGTAAATTTACTTGTTGTATATAGAAAGTTGGCTCCACTATCAAACCAATGGTCGACTTCATACCAAAACCGATATTTAGTTAAAAGGTTGGAAAGAAGTGTTGCGGTGTAAAAAGAATAGGGTTTAGCGGAAAAGGAGTTAGAGTGAATTGTGGTAAATTGCTAAATTTTAACCGACTTCTTAGGGGTTAATTTGTTGGCGTTGAAGCAGGATATATTCGTCATTTTAAATGTTAACAAATGCTCGAGAAACCATCTCTAACAAACACGTATTTCGTATTTTGCTGTTGCTAATTTCGGGTACTTTTAGTGATTAATTAAATCTGTTCATGATCATCAATTGAAGTTTTTTAAATTCCAAATTATTCTAACCAACTAAAATAGTCAGTCTTTCTAGAAGTTAGACGATAGAATTTTAGGTCGGGCATCAATAAATCTAATCCATTTGTGTGTTTTATAGTAGTCTCATCCGCTTCTATTGGTATAGAAGCTTCTTTGGTCTAGGAAAAACAAGAAATTTGCTTGAGCTGTTAAACATCGTTGCATTATCTCATTTGTCTTGATCAACTTATCAACAAAATGTAGTATAATTATTAATGGTCGTCAGTTTTGCTATGGAGTTATCGGATGACATAATTTATGAAGTCATCCAGATTTATTGACAAATTGTGTATTGACACTTGTCTTACAATAAATATACTTTGAACATCTTCTGTTGTCTCTTGTTTCACCGACTTCATACGTATCTTTTGGTTTCTCAAATATTTTAAAAGAACTTAAAACTCGATCGTTTATTTTTTTTTATAAAAGAGGCGTGTGTTTTCTGATGAAATTAGCGGCCGAAACATCCAAGTGAATTGGTGTATATTTAGACTACAACAAGGACTCTAAGGAGGTGATATATTTGGGCTCCCAAAATGTAAATCAACTGTGGACCAGACCCACTCTGTTCACAATTGAATAATATTTCACTCCACTAAAGAAATATTATTGAACTGCCCATTTAGCTCCCAAATTATATTTGAGGCTTTAAATTAATTAATCGATTTATCTCCTCGTGTTTAAGATGTTCGTCAATTAATTTAATTATTGACGATATAATTAATTAACTTCTTGATATAAAACTAGTACCACTCAAACATTTATTATTATCTCGGAGTTAAATTCACTGGTCGAATTTAACATAATAATCCTTCTTGAGGTTATTTAGGAAACATCATAAAAATAACGCACATATTGAACGTAAATAATCGAACATTACAACATACAAATAGTATAATTAGCAGACTCACCTGGACTATTGATCCAGCAGAATGGACCTCACATTTTACTAAATCAGTAGCAGCTACTGAGTGCACGTGCCTATTATTATCTTACGGGTTAAGACTACGCAGTAATTATCGAGGTCTACTTGTTTATTTAATAGGTTAGGATAAAATAAAATTATCCTTTGTGGATCTTTTCAATACACTCATAGTGTACTTGTATAATGCATCATTCAAGACCAGTCGTCCATATTGCACTACAATCGACGCAATGGGTTGTTCAATTACACCTAGGTTGTGAACTAATTGTTTTATTTTTCAATCGATCGTGATGAACCACATCTATCCAAGAAGAAAACAAAAAAAAGTGTTTAATTAAACATAATTTTCATTCAACCAAAAATAGTATTTACAATGCAAAAGACCAAGCTTTCAGTATAAACAATATAATCTCCCAGTTATACTTAAATCTTTCTCATTTCATAGTATACCTTTTTCAATCTTATTCTCAAAGGACCATTGTCCTAACTTCCATACATCTGAATTCCCAATCCTTATCATGGCCATTGACAACTTTCGCCAGAAAGACAATTTTAAAAGGATCTACACAATCGTCTACTGATGTAACTAGGTGACCCCTCGGCGATCATTTGCACGGGGTCTTACTTGCTCTATGTGCTTACTTGTCTTTTGAACTTAATTATGATTTCTTCACGTTTGCAACTGAACCAACTGTCATCACAATCAAATTGTGACCTGACTTGAGAAATTAAAGAACACATTCCTAGACCATAGAAGTTTTTGGACCCAAACCTCTCCCATCACCTGCTATTCAGTCTGCGACGGAATGAGTTTTTATGATGGAACTCGTCAACAAATTACCATTGACATTCCTTCATAGTTTTGGCCAACATATTATCCTTAGTCCTGCTACAATACACTTGACAATATGTTTTACCACAAACTAATGCACCCATCTAGGATTAATTCGATATCGTCTTTGCCCGTCACAATAGATGTAATGCCTCATTTACTGTATTGCATACATTGAGCTTCTTAATGGAAAGCAAAATAAACCTAATCTATGTCCTCTATCATTTAGATTTCCCACGAGATATCTCGTGCGACAAAGAAACTCCATCACGGGAAGGTTTAAGACCTTTTTGGAATTATGCAAGCAAAGATTGAGACTTATGACAAATATAAAGATGGGCTTAATCAAAATATTTTTTTCTTATGATCCTCGCCTTAAAAGAACATGTGTGTCGATTTTCCCCAATTCTTCGTAAATAACTGCTTGGATAATTATATTCTCGCATTTGACAACATCCTTACACTATTTCTAGTCATCAGAATATCATCTACGTATAGTACAAAAATATACCAACATGCGTCTTTCAGTATACACACAAGCTCATTTGGTGACTTATCAAATCCATAAATTCGATTCATCAACCAAACATACTAGATTACAATACTTACTTCAGTCCAAAAATGAACTGTTCTAGCTTATAGAATGGATGTTCTTAGGACTTTACAATGAACCTTTCTAGATATTGTTCCTTGGATGTTCCCACAAGACATCTGTCTTGACATCCACTTTGCCAAATCTCATGGCTCATATGAACGGGCACAACCCAAAATTCATGTAGACTCAAGCATGGCTACTGGAGAAACGTTAACTCACAATCAGTCTCATTTGTTTCTGAGTAAACTATTTCACAACAAGCCTATATGTTTTAGTCTACACGACTTTACTTGTAGATCCATTACGCCCAATGGCCTTTACAACACTTGGTGATTTTAAAAGATCACATATCTAATTAGAGTCAAAAACCCTAAATCTGAAATCATTTTTGTTTTCTATGTGTCTGCACCCTCGTCTCGGAGAGTTTCATTATATACCTAGGGATTTAAGTCCAAATACTCTCAAGAACGTGAATGCGTGGGGACTGTTTTGCAACATTTCACTACAACGAGCACCTCATCGTATGTCCAAGGATTTATTTAAAAAAATATTCACCATAGACTGAGTTTATATATATGCCATGTTGGGAACTCAATCTCATACCAAGATAGTAACTCAGCAATCTAGGAGAGAGAGAGAGAGAGATGGAGAGAGTCCTAAGCTACAAACTTTTTGATACATCATTGCCTACACGACGTCCGAACGAGGATAAGGGTATACAAAAAATGATCGAAGGTGTTGCATAATCAATGCAACCAACCCACGACAACCGCACGCGAGCACCGGCGACTGCCGCAAGCCACCACGACGCAGGCAACTGCACGCTGCAACGTCCAACCCTAGCCACGAAGCATATTCTACAACATCTGCACACAACTTCATGCCGCACGAAAGTCTTAGCATACTAGATCTGATCATCCTAGCGCGATGCAAGCGACCACCCGCATGCAGCCCTAGCAACGCACGCGACACACCGCAACCTGCAGCTCCTGGCGAAGGACGCATGTGATGCACGTAAAAAAAACAACAAAGGTAGCGACTCAGTGATCCAGAAGCGAAACATACAAGGCGGATAAAATAAGGTTGAAGAACATCTCAGAATCGTTCGTCTGGACCAGTATCCGGTGTGAGTATGAACAAAGTCAGCTTTTGCGTAATCGTTCGATCTAGATCCTAAACATTAGTTTTTCGATGCGCTTAGGATATTTTATTAGGGTACTTGATTATTGCAATGATAACCGACATTCCTCACCGGACCCAACAACTGGTATTAAAGCCCAAGCTTAATTCCGTTTATTGTTCA